CGCCCGCTCCGTCAAGATCACCAAGCGCTTCACCAAGCTGCTCATCGCGCCCGAGAGCGCCGCCCTGGAGTCCGAGGGCCCGGGGCCCGAGGAGGAGCCGCCGCCAGAGCGCGCTCGGCGCTCGGACACCCACACCTTCAACCGCCTGTTCGGCCGCGACGAGGAGGGCCAGCGGCCGCTGACCGTGGTGCTGCAGGGTCCGGCGGGCATCGGCAAGACCATGGCGGCCAAGAAGATCCTGTACGACTGGGCGGCGGGCAAGCTGTACCACGGCCAGGTGGACTTCGCCTTCTTCCTGCCTTGCCGAGAGCTGCTCGAGCGACCCGGCGCCTGCAGCCTGGCCGACCTGATCCTGGACCAGTGCCCGGACCGCGGCGCGCCCGTGCGGCAGATGCTGGCACAGTCCGAACGGCTGCTCTTCATCCTGGATGGCGTGGACGACCTGCCGGCGCCGGAGGCCGCGCCCTGCACCGACCCCTTCGAGGCCACCGCCGGCGCGCGAGTGCTGGGCGGCCTGCTGAGCAAGGTGCTGCTGCCCGGGGCGCGCCTGCTGGTGACCACGCGCACTGCCGCACCCGGCAGGCTGCAGGACCGCCTGTGCTCCCCGCAGTGCGCCGAGGTGCGCGGCTTCTCAGACAAGGACAAGAAGAAGTACTTCTTCAAGTTCTTCCAGGACGAGTGGCAGGCGGAGCGTGCCTACCGCTTCGTGAAGGAGAATGAGACGCTGTTCGCGCTGTGCTTCGTGCCCTTCGTGTGCTGGATCGTGTGCACCGTCCTGCGCCAACAGCTGGAGCTTGGCCAGGACCTGTCACGCACCTCCAAGACCACCACCTCGGTGTACCTGCTCTTCATCGCCAGTGTCCTGAGCTCGGCGCCCGCGGCGGATGGGCCCCGGCTGCGGGGCGAGCTGCGCAAGCTGTGCCGCCTGGCGCGCGAAGGCGTCCTCCGGCGCAGGGCGCAGTTCGCCGAGGCGGATCTGGAGCAACTGGAGCTCCGTGGCTCCAAAGTCCAGATGCTGTTTCTCAGCAAGAAGGAGCTTGCCGGCGTTCTGGAGACCGAGGTCACCTACCAGTTTATCGACCAGAGCTTCCAGGAGTTCTTCGCGGCGCTGTCATACATGCTGGAGGGCGAGGGGCCTCCCGGAGCACCGGCTGGCGGCGTGGGCGAGCTTCTGAGGGGGGACGCCGAACTGCGCTGCCACCTCGCGCTCACTACGCGCTTCCTCTTCGGACTGCTGAGCGCCGAGCGGATGCGCGACATCGAGCGCCACTTCGGCTGCGTGGTTTCAGAGCACGTGAAGCAGGACGTTCTGAGGTGGGTGCAGGACCAGGGCTGGGGACGCGCCAGGGCGGAGCCGGAGGGCATGCAGGAGGCCGAGGCGCTGGAGGGCGCTGAGGAGCCGGAGGACGAGGAGAGCGAGTTCAACTCGCCGCTGGAGCTGCTGTACTGTCTGTACGAGACGCAGGACGACGCCTTCGTGCGTCAGGCCCTGCGGGGCCTGCCCGAGCTGGCGCTGCAGCGCGTGCGTTTCAGCCGCATGGACCTGACCGTGCTGAGCTACTGCGTGCGGTGCTGCCCAGCGGGACAAGCACTGCGGCTGGACAGCTGCCGGCTGACCCCCGTGCAGGACAAGAAGAAGAAGAGCAGCCTGATGAAGCGACTGCAGAGCAGCCTGGGCAGCAGCTCGTGAGTCCTGGGGCTACCACACCCTCTGTGGGCCTAGCGCAAGCTGTCGCCTGGGAGTCGTCTCCCCAGACCAGGCGCAGGGCATGAGGGCTGGTTCTGCCCACCCCTGGTGACGTGGCCTCCCAGTGACCACCTCTTTCCCCCTCCCTGTACCCACACCCGGCCACATCAAGGCTCACGTCGTAGCCTGGCCACATAGCTGTAGACCCCCCACACACACACCTCAACCCACCGCCGCTTTCTCGTAAGTTCTGGAAGACACCGTGCTCCCCATGCTCTGAGCCACTGCACCTGCTGTCCCCTACCCCAGAACACTGTTTGCGGCCCAGACTCCCCCAGCTGGCCGCTAACCAGCATATGCCGTGACATCTGCCCACACCCATCTCCTCCACCAGACCCTCAGCTGCTCCAGGGCAAGGCCTGTGTCATTGTTTCCGTGCACTTGGCTCCAAGCCAGCACCTGGCCCAGGTGCTCAGCATCTGTCTAGGGACCGAGTGTCAAGATGCTGACAGGAGCTGGGGATGCCGCCTGCAGGTGCAAGGACAGACGCAGACCAGGGGTACCGGTGACACGCCCCCACTGGCTCACGCAGACGACGTCAGTGGGGAGAGTGCAGGGCCGCAGACGAGTTGTTTCGCTCTGGGTTTGGGGTGCAGGGGCAGAGGGGTCCTGGCTCAGCATGGGGGGAGGGCAGAGGCAGCTCCGACACCTGAGGACCACAGGAAGGGTCCTTGTGAAAGGAGGGGGCTGTAAGGGGGCCAGGGCCTTCACCTCCCTTCTCTCTCCACAGTTCTCAAGCCACCGCGAGAAAACCTCAAGCCTCCCCTCTGCGTCCACTCTGCGAAGCCATGGCCGACCAGCAGTGTGGTCTGAACAGCCTGACGTGAGTGACCGTGCCCCAGCCCCTGGGGACACCGAGCAGGATACCCAGGGCAGGGCAGAGGTGTGGCCCTGCTTGGGGGTGGCTGAGGGGACTGGCTGAGAGCTTGGAGCCTCTGGCGTCCCATGCTGGAGCGGACAGGCGCTGCCTACACAGGCAGCAGACGAGAAGACGGGGCAGGGGCTCCATCGCCACTCAAGGGCTGGCGTGGAAGGGCGTGGGCCCCGGTTCGGTGGGAAGCAGCCGCGTCCTGCGGGAGGGGTGGTGTATTTCCATAAAGGGAAGGGTGCCTGGAGCGGGTGGGAATGCTGGGCGGTCCCTGTGGATGGAGGTTTGGATGGAGGCCAGCCTGCCTGCATTCCAGCCCTCCCCGTGAGCGGGAGCCAGTAGATTTCACCTTGGAGGGCCACTCAGGCACAGCACTTTCCAGGTACTGTCAGCTGTCCCCCCATGAGCAGAAAGTCAGAATGATCATTGGAGCTGGTACTGATGGGCACGGTGACAGGGTCCGTCATGTTGGCGTGACATGGTGGCTTAGCTCACCTGCGGGTGTTTCCGGCACCCTGCAAGCAAACACAGGGAGCCGGAAGGCTGATCAGTCCTACCAATGAGCGAAATGCACTGTGGCACTCGGCACAGCAGTATCTATAATGGCAAAGAAGCAGGAAGGACGGGACTGCCCAGCCGCTGGGGACCGGCTGACTAAGCAGCTATGTCCTGCCTTAACCTGACGGGCCGCACAGGGAAACATGTGAGCGACGTCCGCACGGGCTCCTCAGGAAGCTCTGGCAGAACAGTGTCCTGGAGCGCGGGCCAGCACGTGCCCGTGGGGTCAGGGCCCACGGGGACACCCGTGGTGACGGAGAGCAGGGAAGGCTGTGGAGCCAACACTCCTCGGACTGAATGACAGCCCCCGAGGAGCGGGCGGTTTGCGAGGTCGGGGTGCAGCGAGGTGGCCGAGGGGCCTGCACACAGGCTATGTGCTTCTTGCCCACAGGTTGAGCCACTGCAAACTGCTGGACGCAGCCTGCGGTGACCTCTCTGAGGCCCTGAGGGTGGCCCCTGCCCTGACGGAGCTGAGCCTGCTGCACAGCGGACTCAGCGACAGCGGCCTGCGTGTGCTGTGCGCGGGCCTGGCCTGGCCCCGGTGCCGGGTGCAGACACTCAGGTGAGGCCTGGGCTGGGAGGGGCAAGGGGAGCGGTGGGAACCCGCGGCAGTCCCTAAGGTCAACCGGACCCCCAGGGTGCAGCAGCCCGGCCTCCAGGAAGCCCTTCAGTACCTGGTCAGCACGCTCCGGCGGGGCCCTGCACTCAGCACCCTGGACCTCAGCGGCTGCCAGCTGTCAGGCCCCACGGTGACCTCCCTGTGTGCCGTCCTGCAGCACCCAGGGTGCCGCCTGCAGACCCTCAGGTGGGTGCGGGCACGGGACGGGGCCGGGAACACAGCCTCTCAAGCCCGGGCTAGGGTGGGGACCTGGGCGCTTCACCTGGCCCAAGAGATGAGCCCTCCGGGGCCCCCCTGAGTGACCACTCTGACCCACGCCTGGAGGCACACCTCCACAGCCCTGGCCCCAGCCCCTGGCCTCGACCACTGCCACACCGACGTCCATCTGTCGTCTGGGGCCCATGGCCACAGTCCGGGTCCGTGATCCCTAACCCTCTTACTCCTCCAAAGGCTCGGCCCCCAGCTCCTGTCCCCTGTCCCCAACCTCTGAAAACCTCCCTGACTGGCCACCTTCTGTCCCTGTGTACTTTTGGCACAACCCGGGCCAACAGCCCATCACTGCCCCCACTGCGCCCTGTTGCTGCCTCCCCCAAGGCCTGGACTCCCCCCAACTCCCTCCCGCATCCTGTTCCTGTAGCCTGACGTCCGTGGAGCTGAGCGAGCAGTCCCTGGAGGAGCTGCGGGCAGTGAGGACAGCAAAGCCAGGTCTGGTCATCACACACACAGGACTGGACAGCCACCCTGAGCTTCCCACGAGCTTCAGCAGTGCCCTCTGAAGCCTGGACAGCAGAGCAGCTAGGAAGGCTCCAGGCAGCCCTGTGGGGTGGGCTTCCCCACTCCAAGGGCAGGGGGCATTGCTTGCATCTCTGGGCAGCTCTTTTGAGCCTGCGGGGCCCTGGACAGGCAAAGGAGAAGCTCAGACAGACAGGGCGCTTCGCCTGGTCTGGGATGGGCCCCGCCCCACACACACTGGGGACAGGTCATGCCTCTGTCCTCCACACCCGGAGTCAACGCCTCCCTGTCCTAGGACCCTGCAGCTGTCCCCTTGCAGACCCTTCCCAGCAACAATAATGATGCTGAGAGCCTCCGGTCACTGAGCACCTACCCCGTGTTGGCCCTTACCTGGTGTGCCGGGTGCAGAGTGAACCGTCACGGACCCCGCCTCCAGCCTCAGTGTGGCCTCACAGCCCAGGGCTCTGCCCCTGGGCCAGAGGATCAAGCAGGGCTTACCCTTGAGCAGAGGCAGGCGGGTCACCGTCCCTCCCCAGGAATTTGGGAAGTGGTGTTAGAAGGGAAGCCTCCTGAACCTGACGAGTCCACCCACTGTCCACCGTCTTCGGGTCAGAGAGCGGGAGGGTGGGCGCGGCAGCTTTGCCGGCAGCCGCCCACACTGGCAATAAACTCTCCTTTGCGTTTGTTTCTATTGGTGTCTGTTGCACTTGGCCGCGTGCCCTAACGAGCTTTCCTTGGGCCTCTAACCCACTTATATAGGGTGGGGCCATTGTCCCCATCTCATGGGTGAGGGACTGAGGCTCTGGGGCCAGCCTGACTGCAGGGAGCTCTGAGGCAAGCTTGGCCTTGAGGACAGGGCAGCAGTGCACTGCCCTCGGGTCCTCAGGCCTTCGCCTGAGACCCCAGTGCAGGTGGAGGGGACCTGGGAGCTGGCCCCTCACTTCCGGAGGAAGTGGCCTTCTCTCATTCACTCTCTAGTCCAGATGCAGCTGCTGCCCCCTGAGGCCGGCATCCCCCCCACCCCCCAAAGACAGCTGGAGCAGCCATGGGGGCCGTGGAGGGGGGCAGCAGGCAATGAGTGGGAGAGCGCCAGCCGAGGGTCTCCTGCAGCCATAAGGGGCCCGGGAAGACCTAAGTGAGGGCGGCTGAGGGTGTCGTGACGAAAAGCGTCCCGGGCCACGGAGGGGGCCGTCTCGGCCGGCTCAGGCAGCTATGGCAAAATACCAAAAACGGGATTTTATTGACAACGAGGATTTATTTCTTGCAGTTCTAGAGGCTGGAAATCCAAGGTTGAGGTGCCAGTCAATCCAGTGTCTGGCGAGGCCCCTCTTCCTGGATGCAGATGGCTGTCTTCGCGCGTCGTCACATGGTAGAGCCGGCTCGTTCTCTGGTCTCTTATAAGGACACTGATCCCACTCCTGATGGCTCTTGACCTCATGGACTGAAGGGCCCTACCTCCGAATACCATCACATTGGAGATTTGACTTCAACAGATGGGTTTTGGGGACACAAACATTCATTCCATGACAGGGAGTCCTCTTGGGGTGTCACAGAAGCAGCAAGGAAGCCAGGCTGACTGCAGCGGAGTGGGTGAGGAGGCTGGGCTTGTCCTCCGGGTGAGGCGGGCACCCTGGCAGTCTCCCAAGTAGAAGGCATGGTCTGGCCTAGCCCCTCAGGACCAGGGAGCATGGACAGTGCTCACCCAGGAGGTCGTCGAGGGAACAGTGAGATCGGGCATGGTCTGGAAGGTGGGGCCGAGAAGGGGGATGGATGTGGGAGTGGGACACAGGCGACCTGAGCAGCTGGACCCGTGGTCGCCATCACCTGTGCTGGGGGAGGCAGCAGAGAGCAGGTTCCAGGGGACGTGTGGAATCTGAATGTCTCCGGCTGGACAGAGTGGTCAGAGCACATGTGTCATTTGGGTCAGACATTTGGCTCTACCCAGGGCCTGAGAGACGAGCAGGAAACAGGCCCCAGGCAAAGCCCAGGGCGTCCAGGTGGGCAGGTGGAGGCTAAGGGAGAAGGGGTTGCCGGAGCCAGAAGGCAGGGGTGGAGCAAAGGGAAAGACACCTCTCCCGGAGGACTGCCAGCGTCACCTGTCACCTCTCCTAAGGGGAGACAGAGGGGAGAGGCTATAAGCCTCAGCTCCACCCCTGGAGTGGGTTTTGAGGTCAGGTTTGGCGCCTGCTCCTCACGCGGGTTCCGGCCAGTCCCGGCCGTCCCCACACCGACCCCGCACCGACCCCGCACCGACCCCGCACTGACCCGGCACCGACCCGGCACCGACCGTCACCATCCTCCTACCAGGTCCGCAGACGGACCTCGCAGCCTCACGAACCGGAACGCGGGGAGCTGAGCCCAACCCACCCGCCCCGCGGGCAGAAGCCCGGCCTCCGGGGGTGGGGACCCAGCCGCCCGTCCCGCCCTGCCTCGCCCCGGGGGCGGGGACTGCGGGGCCTTCCGGCGACACAACCCCGCAGCCAGGCTACTTCTGCCTCCGGCCCTGGAGTGGCAGCGCCCACTGGCTGGAGCCGAGGGGTTCGGGAGGGCTGTGGTGAGCCCCAGAGGCGCGGCGACACCGTCCCCCCTCTGCTGGCGCTGGCCCGGGGCTCCCCGGGCTGCCCCGCTGCGCCCAGGCCCCCGGCCCCGCCCCCAGCACGGCCTCCTGGGGGCAAACGTCCCCTGGGCCGAGGCCTCTTCACTTTCCAGCACCAGGTCTGGGGTTCCTGGGGGTGTGGCTTGGAGAGAGCGGCCTGGTTAGGACTGAGGCCCTAGGGTGGGAGTTTGGGGGCTCGGTCGTGTCGCTTGAGGTCAGTATTAGGGGGTGTAAGTGCTTGTGAGGGTAGAGGGTGTTTTGAAAGTGAGGGCTCTGGAAAACTGGGCTGCCAGGGTGAACCCACAACCCTCCCCTCTGTTGGGGCAGGAGAGCTAGAAGGGGGAGGCCCAGCTGATGGGGGCCCTCACCCCGCCCCTTTCCAGGCCCCCCCTTGGAGCAAGCCTTTCCATGGCAGATGCCACTGAGGACCCCACCATATTCACGGCCCACTCTCTGCCCAGTGACTCCCGACTCTGGGCCACCGTGACCAATGCATACTTGGGCACACGTGTGTATCATAACGCACTGCACGTGAGTGGCATATACAATGGGGCCGGGGGGGACACGCACCGGGCCATTCTGCCCAGTCCCCTCGACATCCAACTGGAGGCCCCTGCAAGGACAGGAGAGCAGCTGACCAAGACCTTCAGCCTGGACACTAACACAGGTAGCCACTTCCTGTTCTGTCCCCGCTCCCCATCTCGAATTCCGGATGCCTGACCCACAGAGAGGCCCCGGGGGCTCCTGGACTGGAGTGGCTCAGAGGGGGGACCCACTGCACTGAGGGAGCAGACAGGCGTGGGCAGCTTTGTGACAGGCGCGGGGCGCTCAGTGGGGCACCGTGCCCGCAGGCTCCTTCCTGCACACCGTGGAGGACTCCAGCTTCCGGGCCGCCCAGCGCATCTATGCCCACCGCACACTGCCTCACGTCCTGGTCTGCAGCGTGTCCATCACCCGCCTGGGTGCCGGGAGCCGGCCCATCACGGTGCTGCTGAGGTCGGCCTTCTCCCCAGAGAGCCCGGACTTGGCCCTGCACCTGGGGCCCGACTTCCGAGGAGCCCGGTGAGCAGGGCGGGGCCAGCCAGGTGGCGGGGGAAGGGGCTGGCCCCTGAGACTGGCCGTGCTCCTGCAGGTACCTGCACGGCCACACCCTCACCCCCGAGCAGCCCGGGGGGCCGCAGCAGGAGGTGCACATGCTGTGGACACCAGTGCCCCCGGCCCTGACCCTCGCGGCAGGTGAGGACGTCCAGACCTGGGAATTCCTGGTGGTGGTGGGCGGCAGCCAGGCTGAGGTCCGGACCTGCCTTGGCGAGGCCCTGCAGCTGCAGGCAGAACGCGCCCTGTACCCTGCCCACGCCCAGGCCTGGGCCCAGCTCTGGGCCGGCTGCGGGCTGGATGTGCCGGGCCCGCTGCGCCTGCGCCAGGCCCTGCGTGCTGCGCTCTACTACCTGCTCAGCGCTCTGCCCCAGCCCGGGGCCCCGGGGCACACCTGCCACGGCCTCAGCCCCGGGGGCCTCTCCAACGGGAGCCGTGACGAATGCTACTGGGGCCATGTCTTCTGGGACCAGGTGTGTACCATCGCCCCCAGCACACACCTGCCACAAGGCGGGCAGCACGTAGGCAAAGAGGGTCTTGCAGCTGAGGACGCAGGCATGGCGGCCGCCTCTGTGGTTGGGGACGCACAGGGGCCACGGCAAAAGAGAAGGCTTCCTAGAGGAGGTAGCGTCTCAGCCAGAGAGTGTTCAGGGGTCTCATGGAGAAGCTAGTGAGGTAAAGAGACCAGAAGGTCCGGAGGCCCAGAGCTGGGAGGGGCGTGGATCTGCCGGGGGCGGGCATCTTAAGGGGCCGGAAGAGCAGCTGTGAAGGGAGCTCGCTGCGAAGCCTGGAGATCTGTCAACTGGGGAGCAACCTGGACAGATGCGTGTGCTGGAGAGACCCTTGTGGCTGCTGAGGGAGCGTGGGGGGCGGAGGGGGAGGCCTTGGACAGTGTGGGAGCCAAAACCTGGGACTTGGTGACCCTGGCAGGGGAGGGTCCAGCAAAGCCAGTGCTGCGGTCCACTTCACAGGTTGGGCTCAGGGAGGCTGGGTCACCACTAGGTTGTGCTCCCAGCCTGGGCTGCCAACACCCAGATTCTGGCCTGAGCCCCTGGCCAGACCTAGATGCCCGCTGGGGAGGTGAAGCTCTGGGCTGGGGATGGGACATGTGGTGGGCAGATAGGGAAGGCCTGGCAGAGACCCAGGTGGGCGGCAAGGCGCAGTGCCGGCTCTGAGGCCCTGCCATGGCGGAAGGTCCTGGAAGGTCAGCAGGCAGGAAGAGAGGGTGTGGGAGCCAGGACAAGGGACCCTTCGCTGTGCTCGCAGGATCTCTGGATGTTCCCGAATGTCCTGGTGTGGCACCCAGAGGCTGCCCGGGGTCTCCTGGAGTACCGCATCCGGACGCTGGCCGGGGCCCTGGACAACGCCCGGAGGCTGGGCTACCAGGTCAGAGGTGCCTGAGCACCCACCCTGCAGGGCCCCGGAGGGCTCCATGTCACCAGGCCCCGCCTAGGCCTGCACCCCTCACCCCAGGCCCCCTCTCTGGATGTTGCCAGGGTGTCCTGGGTTCTTACGAGGGCCCAGCAGCATGCCCACAGCACGCACCGTGCAGCTGGGAACAATCGGGACCCACTGGGGCCCTTCACTGCCCTGAGCCGGGCAGCACACGGTGGAAACTGGGCAGAGGCTGCCTGGCCCACGCTGGAGACACGCGTGGCACTCAGAGCCAGCAGGCCCCCACAGGGGCCGAGGGCTGAGAGCATGGGGACACGTGTGGGCCACCCCACCCCAGAACGGACTCAGGTCTGCTCTATCCCCCAACGCACAGGGAGCCAAGTTTGCCTGGGAGAGTGCGGGTTCCGGCCTGGAGGTGTGTCCCGAGGACGTTTATGGGGCCCAGGAAATCCACATCAACGGCGCTGTGCTCCTGGCCTTCCAGCTGTACTACAGCAGCACCCAGGTGAGATGTCACTGTGCCCACCGGCCGTGATGACTCCTGGCATGGCCACGCCCCACACCCGGCCAGGACGTCGTGTCTGGAGCCAGGCCTTCGCTTCTGGGCACTTGGAAATGCAATGACCAGTGGGAACTAGAAACACAGGTGCCATGGCCTCTGTCCCATGCTCTCCTGCTCCTCCAGGACCTGCAGCTCTTCCAAGAGGCCGGTGGCTGGGACGTGGTCAGTGCTGTGGCTGAGTTTTGGTGCAGCCGTGTAGAGTGGAGCCCTGACGAGGAGAAGTACCACCTGCGGGGTGAGGGCATGGGGAGGGCAGATGTCGTGGGGGCAGAGCAGATGGTCATAAGGCCAGGGGTTGGAGGGACTGGGTTGTCATGGGGCAGAAGGGCAAATGGTCAGCAGCTGGGGGAGCAGGTAAAACTCGATGCCTCGTGTGATTTCTGTGACCTAATGTTTGCCGGGACGGGGGCAGTAAGCACCTCTTACCTTTATGTGCCCAGGAGTCATGCCCCCCGACGAGTTCCATTCAGGGGTGAACAACTCCGTGTACACCAACGTCCTGCTCCAGAACAGGTCCGACCAAGAGCCCGCCCCAGCCCCAGCGCGCGGGGGCCGCCACCACTGCCTGGGCTGCAGCCCCCGCTCTCCACCTCTGCCTCTAGCCTGCGCTTTGCTGCTGCTCTGGCCCGGGACCTGGGCCAGCCTGTCCCTAGCCGGTGGCTGGAGGTGGCCGATAAGATCAAGGTGCCCTTTGACCCGAAGCACAGCTTCCACCCTGAGTTTGATGGGTACGAGCCTGGTGAGTGGACCCGGAACCCCTCCGAGGCCCCTTCTGGCCTCTGTCAGGACCTCGCGCCAGCCGTGGACTCCCCTCCCCCCGTCAGCAGCGTCTGTCCCCCAGGAGAGGAGGTGAAGCAGGCAGACGTTGTGCTCCTGGGGTACCCTGTCCCCTTCTCCGTGAGCCCTCGCATTCGCAGAAGAAACCTGGAGGTTTACGAGGCTGTGACGTCCCCCCACGGCCCTGCCATGACCTGGGTGAGGACGCTGGGGTGTGGGGTGGCGTCCTCACGGCGGCCCAGCCCTGCCCCACTGGCGCGGTCTCCCTTCCGCTTGCAGCAGACCTCATGGCAGCGTGTCCTCCGCCCCAGAGCATGTTCGCCGTAGGCTGGATGGAGCTGCAGGAGCCCAGCAGGGCGTGGGACCTCCTGGAAAGGAGCTTCGCCAACATCACAGAGCCCTTCAAGGCCAGCCGTCCCCAGCCCAGCCTCCCCTCCCCAGCCCCAGCCACCACCCCCCCCAGCTCACCAGCCTCCCTCGCGCCCCTGGGCTGTGAGGCTGGGAGCCCAGCCTTGGGTCACAGCAGGGTCACAGCCTGGCCATTCCCTCGTGACCCGGGGCCTCCCGGGAGCAGAGGCAGTGGCCGCGGGAGGGTCTGTGTCCAGGGTCTCCGCACTGACTGCCTCACCCCCCGCAGGTGTGGACAGAGAATTCCGATGGGTCGGGGGCGGTCAACTTCCTGACCGGCATGGGGGGCTTCCTGCAGGCAGCGCTCTTCGGGTTCACCGGGTTCAGGTGCGTGCCGGGCCCAGCAGAGGGCGACACCGGCCGCTGCCGGCCCTCCTCACAGAATCGTCCCGTCCTGCAGGATCACGGGGGCTGGTGTGACCTTTGATCCCAGGTGTCCGGCCGGGGTCACAGGCGTGAGCGTCTCCGGCATCTCCTACCAGGGGAACAAGCTTGACTTCTCCTTCTCCGCGGGCTTGGTGACAGTGAAGGTCAGGGCCCGAGCGGGGCCCTGGGCGCCCCCGCTGGAGGTCGAGCTGTGGCCATCACAAGCCCGGCTCCCGCTGCCCCCAGGTAAGGCACTGCCCCAGACCCCCCAAGGGGCCCAGGGCCTATGCCGCCCAGGGTGGCCCCTGGTGTGTGCCGCCTCCCACGAGATGCCCCTCCCCGCAGGACACGAGATTTCCTTCCCTTGCTCGGCTGGCCGGATACAAAGGTCCTTCCCGTAGGAAGCAGAAATAGCCCTTCTGCTCCAGGTATTTCCAGAGAGAGCCTTTCGAAGACGCTGGACGCCTGCCAGACCCCACGGGACCACATTTGGGGCACTCTTGGGCCCTCCGCCCCACTGACTCCCTCACTCTGGCTCTGCCTGGGGCTCTGCTCCTGGACCACCAGCACCGTGGCTTCCGGGGTGCCTCTTGGGCCCTGCCCTCTCACGCTCCCTGTGTGGTGGCCCTGGCTGGGGCACTCACCCCTCTTTGACGTTCTACTGGCCTGTCGTCCCCTCCCACTCACCTCCAGCTGGCAGCCAGGCTCGTGGGCTCCAGGCAATGTCTGAGTCAAGACTGAGCCCTTTTTCTGCCTAGACCCCACGAGGCCCCCACCAGCCATGTCTGTGCCTGGCCTTCTGGGCTGAAGGTGGCACCTGTCCTTTCCCCAGGCAGACAGCTCTGCCGAGGAGGCAGAGGGGGGCTCAGCCTGCCTCGGCTGGGCGACAGCGAGGCAGGGCCCTGGGGAGGGGGCCTCGGCTCGGAACTGTTCAGGACTCAGTCACAGCCCAGCACAGGAGAGCGTCCGGGCCCGGTGGCTGAGGGACAGTCGAGGTGCGTCTAGGTGCCCTCGGGCCATCCTGGGGACTCGGTGCTGCAGGTTTTGGCTCCCCTGGCCTCTGAGCCGCTTCGCTGAGGTCAGACAGCCCCTGTCACACCTTTCCACGGCCAGGCGGGGTGCGGAGCAAGCTCCCATCCCTTCTGACCAGCCACAGGACCAGGGTAACTGAACCTGGGTTCAGGGCCATGGCCCTGGTCCCCTCTGTCCTGGCCGGGCTGCCCTCGGCCTGCCCAGATTCCCCTCCTGGGGCCTCAGCCCCTCCCCTGGCACATCAAACTTGAGTCCTCGGGGACTTCCCAAGAATGAGGGGACACGGCGCCCGCCACCAGAACTGCGGTGAGGCCGGCCTGCTACACCAATCTGCCCAAGCAATAAAGTGCTAGAAGAGCCGTGTGTGAGGAGCCGGGGAGCCCTCCTTCAGACGTGGGCTCGCCCTCGGGTCAAGGGTCAGGCCGGCAACTCGCCAGGCAGAGCAGTAGCTGGGTCCTGTGGTCAGAGCCCCCACCTCCGTCCCCTGGCGAATTGCTGTTCTCCGTCTCCTGCAGAGTTAGTCCCAGGACCTGTGGACGCCACCTCGGGAGGGAGAGAGGGAGGGGGTGCATCTGTGTGCTGTGGGGGGCAGCACGCGGACGGAGTGTGGCTGAGTTGCACACCTGTCGGCACCAGCTCCCTGAGGACCTTGGTGGAGCTCGTCCAGGTGCCCACAGGCTCTCCCTCCTCAACTGGCCATGCAGCAGAGGCCCAGCAGGTGGGGACACAGCTCAGGCGGGAGGGGTCTTGCACCTGCAGGACTGACGCCGCATGATATCGGCTGCACTGTGTACCACGTGTGTGCGCAGCCACCTGTGCATGTGGCAGGGGGGCCCTCTGAGGAGACTGGCCAGTGGCAGCGTGTGTGCGCTGGCGTGGCTGGTCAGAGGCCCCAGTAGCCAATTGCTTCAACTCGATCGAGGCCCCTCAGCCTGTCCAGAAGACACAGCCAGAGCCAGGGAGGGCTGCTGGTGACCTTCCTGCCGCCTGGCTGGACTGCACGCTCTGTCCCCGGCACCGGGCTAGTCATCTTTGCTCCGTCACGACCGGCAGGCCGTCCCCTGCTTGGGGTCACGCAGTCAAACACACACAGGCCTCCATACTCAGCGTGGATTGGTCCCTTTCAGGCCAAGCCTGGAGCTCAGGGTTGGCATGTGTCCTCCGCCCTGGTCCCAGCCCTGGCACTCTGCCCTTGTCTTTGGTCCAACGTGGGACCAGCACCCAGCTTGCGCCAGTGCCCTGTCCCCATCCCCAGGCCCCAGCCGGCACATGCCTCTGCCTCCAGGGGCCGGCTGGGAGCGGCAGACACTCCTCAGCGTGGGGCCGGTGGCCAAGACACCATCTCCGCTGGCACGCAATGGAGATGGCCGAGCCAGCTGTCGGGGAGGGTACTTTGGGGGCTCTAAGTACAGCAGTTAAACAGAGACTTCCATCCCCAGCGCAGGCAGAGAGGCCAGGCGAAGGGGGCTCCCTGGGGACAGACGGGACCCTGGGTGGAGTGCTCAAAACACCGAGCCGCCCTGTGTTTAAGGCCCCTGCAATTAGCCTGCCCTGTCATTGGCCTGGCCACAGCAAAGCCAAGGGGACCTCGCCCCAAGCCACACAGGGTGTGCACATGTGTTCAGCAGCTCCTGCCTCTGCCAGGCTGCTGGTTCAGGGAGGTGAGAATAGAGATTCGCATCTAGCACCAAGGCTGCTCAGAAAGACCCTCATCCCCCAGCCCCGCTCAACTGCCTGGGTGGGGTTCGTGCTCCCGTATGAGTGTGCGATGTGCACGTGCATGGGTGATGGCTCTCCAAGCCCGTGTGCTCGTGTGTCTTTGGGTCCAGCCCTGCTAACCCACTGCAGGGACTGCGATTTCTCAGGATTAAAAGGGTTCGGGGTCAGGGGACCAACAGGGTGACCTAAGGAAGGCAGTCGACACACACCTGAGCCACAGACAGGAACGTGCGGGACAAGACCTCACCGGCCAGGGACTCCCCCCTACCTTGCATGCAGACGCGTGTGCACACACAGGCTTGGGGACAGGCACACGTGGAGTCCGGAGACGCCACGCATCCTGGAGACACACCACTAAACCACAGGGCCCAGCAGGGATCAAAGCCTGAGTTCTCAAACTTGTTTCTAAAATACTCAGGCGCCTCCATGCTGGGGACAGCCAGAGCACCGCCCAAAGAAGACCGTTCAGAACAGGGTCCCACCATCAGTGCTGGGGTCGATCTGGAGGCCCTGGCTGTGGACGTCCCTAGGTAGCTCCCCTCAGGAAGACACCCTCCCTACCCAGCCAAGAAAGAGGCCCAGGAGGCACTTTCTGGGACCAGGCACTTTTAATTGTGGGACCTAGGCTGAGCCTGGTAAGTGGGGAGTGGGGACCAGGGACCATCGAGGTTAGGGGAGGCCTCTGGAATCCGAAAGGGGGATCCTCGGGGCTGGCATCGGGTGCCCAGCCTGAGGCTGGGGGTGGGCGGCGGGCCCTGCCACAGAGCCGGGGTTCCCGCAGATCCGGGTGGAGCCCTGGGCAGCACTCCGGGGGGCTGGTGTCCTGGGCTCGGGGTCCCCGGGTAGGACGGGGTCGGGACCAGCCTCTCAGTCATAGTCCGCATCGTCGAACTTGGTGCTGAAGAAGGCGGCAGAGTCCTTGGCCAGCCGGGACAGATGCAGGGCGCCCGTCACCACCAGCGCCAGCAGCAGGAGGGGCGGCACCAATGCCCACATGGCAGCCAGGATGTTGTAGCACTTGGCTTTGGAGCCCAAACGCCGGGCCTCCTCCAGGTCCCCAGCCACCTTCTGGTCCCGGGCCTGCGGACGGCAGCAGGGCCAAGTGTCCACCTGCGCTGGGCCCTGGGGGCCCGCCTCCCCACCCCAGGAAGCCCCTGGCTCACACTCTGGAAGGCCCAGTGCTGCACCCAACATCTGGGTGGAGGGACGTGGCCTGAAGGGGGCACGCCCTGGGCTCGCCCACTCCCTTCACTGCCCCTGAGTGGACACACAGGCTCGGCCCTGGAGGGGGGGTGGTGCACGAGGGACCTCAGCCTAAGACAGGGCTGGAAGGGGCCCCTGCCTGCCCCGCTCCAGCCACGGGTCCAGTGGCCAGGCCAGCACCGGCCTCCAAGGACCCTGGGTGGGTGGGGAGCCCGGCAGGGTGCTGAGGCTCCCCGGGCAGAAGGTGAAGCCAGGGCGGAAGAGGCCCCTGTGGCGGAACGGCCGCCAGGGGGTGGGGGGGCCCGACCCCTCTGCGCTGCGGGCCGGACCGGCCTCCTGGCGGAGCGCCGTGGGGGGAGCGCGCGCCCACCTTGATGGAGTAGGCCAGCGCCAGGAAGCCCAGGCAGCACAGGTTCAGGTAGAGGGTGCTGAACACCGAC